TGCTAAGATCAAAAGGCAGTGTATGGGAGGGTAGGGGTTGAAGTAAGCCTGGTTAACTTGATCTTATTAAAGCAACAGTAGCCAGAACCAGCCTAACTAGACTCTGGAAGGAAGGGGAATGACCAGCCCTTAACCCTAACTGCCTATCAAAGGAAAGGGCTTACACTCCCTGGAAATAAAACAAAAACCAGTCATGCTACAGTCTCCATAAATTGTTTTTTTATACCCACTACCTGGAATAATATATATTACAAGTTAAAAAATGATCACCTAGTTGCCCTGGCTCCCTGGCTGGTTTGGCTCAGCGGTTGGAGCATCGGCCTGTGGACCAGAGAGTCCGGGGTTCGGTTCCCGCTTGGGGCACATATCCCCCCCCCCCCCCAAAGGATCACCTAGCTAAAGAATTGAGCATGCTATAATCAAGAGCATATGGAATCTGCCCGGATGGTGTGGCTCAATGGATTGAGCATCAACCCCATGGACTGAGAGGTCCCACTCGATTCCTGTTCTGAGCACGTGCCCGGGTTGCGGGCTCAAGCCCAGTGGGGGGCGTGCAGGAAGCAGCAGATCGATGTTTCTCTCTCACATCGATGGTCCTCTCTCTCCCTTCCTCTCTCTAAAAAAAATCGGTAAAAACATATTTTTAAAAACAGCTTTTGGGATTGGATCAAGCAATACTGAAGGCCTGTCCACACAAACTGTACTGTACATTGCGCATACTTCCGGCATGCCCACTTGAGTTACAATATTGCCCTTCATTTAGCATATGCCATGGCTTCATGTGACCAGCTGCTCGTGTCATTTGGTATGTGTGCAGACCTCTTCCCACAATACCCAGTTTTCTTTGAACAAAACACAGCTCTCCTTTTGCATTTAGTCTTGATGAGACAGTAAATCCAAATACTTGTTCTCAATCCACTTAAGTCAAAGTTGTTTCTGGAGGGTCATTCTCTCAAAGCTCCAGGATCGCCTGGGGTGACTTCTGACCTAAATGATCTTGAATGGATAACTTAAAGATAAACAGTTGGGAATTTATTTAATTCAGTGGAGGGATAAAAGCAAGACTTTCATGCAAATCCCGATTTTTTTTTTAAATACCTTCTGGACCTTTCTGAGTTTCTATCCTAAGCCCAGTTCTTTAGCTTCCCTTTGATTTTATGAGCTCCCTATATCCTTCAAATAAAATTCTTTATTGCTTAGGTCAGCTAGAGTTTTCCTCTTACAATAGAACCCTAAATGGTACTCAACACATGGCCCCGTAGATGATGCTGATCTCCCTCAGACATGCCCGTAAAGGACTGTTATACTGGGTGATATATTGTTATCCCCTATTTGAGTTTCTTGGTTATTCTTAGATTTCTGGAAGCTAGTGAGGCATACACCATTGTGTTCTATTTCGGTTCTAAGTTCTGCATGCCAGTAATTATTTCAATATTTTTGACTCGAGTTTTATTTTACTTTTATTTTTTAATCCTCACCCGAGGATATTTTTCCATTTATCTTCAGATGGGGGGTGGGGGAGGAGAGAAAGAAACATCATTGTGAGAGAGACACATCGATCAGTTGCCTCCCGCAGGACCAGGGCTGGGGACAAACCACAACCAAGGTATGTGCCCCTGGCCAGAATCGAACCCAAAACTCTTTGGTCCACAGGCCGATGCTCTAAACACTGAGCCAAACCAGCCAGGGCTTGATTTGAGTTTTAAAACTGAGCTGTTGTGCTCAGTCACTGTGGCTCGGTGGATTGGGCATCGTCCCATGGACGTGGACTGAGAGGTCCAGGTTCGATTCCCCATCAGGGCACATGCCCGGGTTTTGGACTCGATCCCCAGTAGGGGGAGTGCAGGAGGCAGCCAATCGATGTTTCTCACACTGATGCTTCTTTCTCTCTCTAACAAATAAAAACGTATTTTAAAAAAAATATGTTCGTGATTCACAAACCTGTGTCATTAGTGTCCACACCAGAATTCACATTCACTGCCACTGTATCAAAACATGAAAGCTTACAACTAAAAGCATTCCCATGCAGTTATAACTATAAATGTTAATCACAAAAATGTACTCTCAGCTCAGTGTTCTAGTAACGAGACCTTTATAAACTGTTAAGTTATAAGAGTGCAAATTCTACACCAGTGTTACTGGGGATATTTTCTATTCTCATTGCCAAATGGTTTCTTTTAGGTTTGATCTCATTTGTACCTTGCGTGCTATACATCTCAATACAACTTCATGAACATGTCTTAGACTTTTTACTTACACATGTAAGAACTTTGAACTTCTGAGACAATAAGGGAACCCTATCTTTGATGAGTAAACTGACCACAGATTTAATAACGAAGGCCCTCTGAAGATCTCTCTCTGCTCGAAAGGGAATGATTCAGTGGCTTTATTTGAGGCTTCTAGCACTACCGGGGTTCTAGCCAGGCAGGATATATGCTCAACCGATCAGAATTCTATTCGATATCCTGATATTGACCTTAAGATAAGCTAAAAAGAGAATTCTAAAATATACATTATTCAATTTATTTTCTTTATCCTAAAGAAAGTTATAACATTTGTCCACAAACAACATAAATCCAGTAAAAAAAAATTCTTACCTATGAGGGATGCTGCCATTTTTATACAGGCACACTCAAGGCTTCAGACATCCTCATTTAACACCAAATCTAGTAATAGTTAGAGCTACTAATATCAGGCTATATGGTCCATATAGAATACGTAATTATCCCAACGCAGCTCCAGATAATATGGTGAATTCTGGGTCACCCTGCAGGTGGTGGTGGGGGGTGGTTTTCAGTGAGACAGAAAGAAGTAATAAAGAATATACCGAATTGATTCAAATATTGAAGTACTAAACTCTGTTTTTAAAAAGACCTGGGAAAAGTCTGAGATACCCCAGACTCATCAGAAGGCTTCCAACAAGGCTTTGAGAGAAACACCACACAGGTGTTCCACTTCAATCTCAATCCCCTGTTTGAGTATAGGTTCAGGGACCATGGGAATGATTTAAGCAAGGAGAATGCTCAAAATGTGAGCCTGGTCAGCCCTGGCCAGTTTGGCTCAGCAGTTAGAGCGTTGGCCTGCAGTCCGGAGAGACCCGGGTTCGGTTCCCGCTAAGGGCACGTACCTTGGTTGCAGTTTGTCCCCAGCCCTGGTTGGGTCGTGTGGGTGGCAACCGCTCGATGTGTCGCTTTCACATCGATGTTTCTCTCTCTCTCTCTCCCTCTCACTCTATCTGAACAAAATATCGAAAAATGTCCTCGGGTGAGGATAAAAAAAAAAAAAAAAAAAATGTGAGCCTGGTCACCAGATATGTGCATCGGTGTCTAAAAGAAATAAAATAACATGGTGGCTATCGTTTGAGCAGTTGAGCTGTGCCGAGTGCCTTACATGCATCACTTCACTAGACAGCCTGTAAGATGGACTGTCACTCTAGTTTATGGATGAGAAACTGAGGCTCAGAGAGGCTAGATAACCAGTCCAAAGACACAGTTAATTAATGGGGAGCCTGGATTTAAACTCAGGTAGTCCAACTCTAGATCCAGCATTCTTATGATACCAAAATGAAATACCTTAACCTAGACTCCAACTATGTGTGTCAAATGCATGCCTACATCAGAAGGATTATGTAACACTAAACATTCTCTAGAAGTATACAATCAAGTTTCCTCAATTCCACTTCTGGGTATCTATCCAAAGAAAACAAAAATAGTAATTTGAGAACATATATGCACCCCTATGTTCACTGCAGCATTATTCACAATAGCCAAGATACAAAAGCAACCCAAGTGTCCACTGAATGATGAATGAAAATGGACCAAGATGTGGTACACACACACACACACACACACACAGAGGAATTTTACTCAGCCATAAAAAAAATAAATTTGCCCTGGTCAGTTTGGCTCAGTTGCAGTTTGTCCCTGGCCCTGGATGGGGTCATGTGGGTGGCAACCACTCGATGTGTCTCTCTCTCTCCTCCTCCCTCTCTCCCTCCCGCTCTATTTGAGGAAAATAGCAAAAATGTCCTCGGGTGAGGGGAAAAAAAAAAAAAAAGAATAAATCTTGTCTTTTGTGAAAACATGGATGGACCCAGAGGATATTATGTTAAGTTGAAATAAGGCAGACAAAGGTAAAAAACCATACTATTTCACTTACATGCAGAATCTAAAAAACAAAACAGAAATAGATTCATAGATATAGAGAACAGAATGACAGTTGCCAGGGTGGGGGGTGGTGGTGAAGGGGAGTAAAAGGTACAACCTTCCAGTTATAAGATAAATTACGAGGATGTCATGTGCAGCACGAGGGAACACAGACTATTACAGTAACTTGTACAGCGACAGAAGGTTACTACATTTATCATGGTGATCAATTCGTAAGGTATATAAATGTTGAATAACCATGTTATACATCTGAAACTCATGATATTACATTTCAACTATATTTTGATAAAAATAAACCAAAAATAAGAAGGCCTTTCCCAACGTTTATCAACTAGAGAAGATGTATATTCTCAGTCAGAAACTGTAAGCAAAATAATAACAATAAAGTTTCCTCAAATACTTTAAGGCATTAAGATGCCTTGATGAGTCATAATTGCTGGGATTTAGTATATTTCTCTAACTTCATTTGATGATTAAAACCATGATAAATTTAATAACTACTACTGTTACATATTCTGCATTTAAGAGAAGATAAGAACATGAAAAGGAATACCACCTTATTTTTTATCAACATGCCATCAGATTAAAATGAATGATTACTGAAATTCATACTAAAACAAAAATAAAGATTAGATACCAGTATGTATGCCAATAAATGCTACACAGCAAGATAAAAACAGTCTGAGGGCAAATTTTATAAACCAAAACCATCCCGGAAAATGTTATATAACTCAAAAAAGACCAAGGCATAAGTAGAGAAAAATTAATTAAGAGGGACCTTTTTATTACACATTTATAAAATAATAGTATAATATAATTATTAAAAATGGAGACTATATTTTTTGGTATTTTGTGTTTTGCATTCAATTTTTCAATCATCTTCACAATTTTTCAAAACTTGATTTTTGTTATCCAAAGTGTCCTCCCACAACCTCTGCTCCACCCACCAATCAAAGCACAACGGAAGAACAAACTATTCAACAGGGGATAAGTCTCTCTAGTGAGAGACTTATTATCAAAGAAATTAACTCAATAAGTCACAAAAATTGAGTTTTCAAAGAAATACAATGAAAACAACATCTGAAGCTTTCTAATGATTCAGAAATCGCCCCGGGGTCACAGTGTGCCACGCCCCGCATGCTGTGTGTTTACGTGCCCATGACAGAGTCCTCATTAGTGAAACTATGGACAAAAGAATGTTTCACCTATATGCAGTACACACAGCCCCATCCAGTGACTACAGATACAACATGGGGATTCTGATGTGTATATTTGTACTAACTAGGTGCAATTTATAATATGCTAAGAAACCTTTTAAAATTTCAATTACAAAATGAGTATTTTCAGCACATTTAGTAACAACTACTTCTTTTAAATTATCGTTTTATTTTTGATGACCAAATTATATTTGACTATAAAGAACATATGACTTTAAAATAACATTAAACAACCATGGTTACAACAGAACTATGTAGCAGTAAATGAAAAAAGGGAAAGTCACGTACATGTATTGTATGGCACTGAGGTTTTCCAAAGCTATTGTTTCAAGTGGCTTTCAATCACCTGCACGTATATCAATTTGAAAATGTCTCAGTGTGCATGCAGAAAGGTGAACTGGGCGTAGATCACACAACTGCCTGAAAACCATTCAATGCAGATCTCTGAACAAGTATTGTTATTTGATTATTCTGACAACCATAATCATTGAACCACATATAAGTATTCAGATGTGGCTGACTCCAATTATTCAACTGCAGAGAATGCTCAAACTTAAAAAAAAAGCCGAAACAAGTAACAACTGAAAATGGCTGAATCACTGTACCTTTTACACACAACCTTCAATCTTAGTTTCGTTATACAGTATTTGGTACTTTTTGATTCAGTAGTTGGGGTAAAAAAAAGTTTCTGTATTCAAACATATCTACAGAATGTCAATATAAAATGTGTGAATATATACATTTAATACACACACACACACACACACTCACATATCTAGAATGCAGCACTTAACCACGTGTCCATTTCTCACTAATGAATCACCTATTAAGACCAGCTTAGATGCTATAAGGCTGCAACATATGGCTAAAAAGGTCAAACACAAGCACCCACACGCAGGCTGGATTAAATTGTTCCTCCTCATGATTTCTGACAAGTGGTAATACCGTTTATGTAACAACTACATCTCAATAACTTAGAACTCAAGAGTATAAAACCAGTGTCATTCGACTCCCTCACTGTTTAAAGAACATTCCTTCCATTCTACTTTCACTAATGATAACAGGGCACACCAAACCAGGTTACACTGACCTGTACAAATGACTTTACTCTTAATCTAAACAAACGTGTGTTAAAACATTCTGAAATGCTGCATCCTTTGATTTCTTCATCTTTTCAATTGCCCGATGCAGGTCTTGCTGTTGCACGGGCCGAATTTCATCTTCATCGTGGCTGAAATGCAAACAAAACCAGCAAATATTCAAACAACTTTAGAATACACCTCCCTAAAGAATTTTACTATGATTAAAAAGTAAAATCTCTTTCCCATCCAAGACCCCAAAGACAACCACAATTAAAAGCTTCCTGCAAACTCTTTCAGGAATTACCTATGCACACACAGGTCGTAAAGAGATTTTTAAGAAGCACTGACTGCTAAGAGATAGAAAGCTAAAATGGTGGCTGCAAATATTACAGCTGTGGTAACTAAAATCAAATTCTTCACACTAAGACTATAAGTACAAAAGCTGTCAGTTTACCAAAGTGGAAATATTAATTCCAGTAAAGGAGTCAAGTGTTATTTTCATGGAAACCGGAATTAAAAAGTAGCTTTCCTACATTTATATTCAAGTATATGTTTAGCTTTTGATGAACTGAAAATAAAATTCTTTGCTATTGATAAAACCTACTAAGCTAAGTCCTCCCCACTTCAATAATAAAAACAAAATACAGTATATAATGTCTCCTTTGTAATTTATGGACACTTAGGAAAAAACATTTGGGGGAAAAAAGTTATGATGACCCAAGTCTATTGGCCAGATTTTTCATATTGAAATATAAAATTTTCAGGGCTTTGAGGAGAGCAGAAAACAGGACTTTCATTATTAATGTAATTTTATTTAAGCAAAACAGCTGTTTTGTTTTTCTCCTCTTAATCTTATTTATAAGAATAAAAACCTTTGGCAGGAGACTAGCTATAGAGGTCAAAAGTATTCCCAACTTTAGCGCTAGAGTCACTGGAACAATCTGGCAATAAATATATAAATGAGAGTTGCCCTCTGCATGATAGGGATCAAGGGGACACTAAAGAAAGGCCCAGAACTAAGGCATACCTAGCTAGGGTTAACAGGGCAGCTTTCATGCCAACTTTTCTCTATGGCAATGCACTATAATTAAACACAAGCACACAACAGCTAAAGCCAGGTCACTTGGAGTGAAAGCCTCAGGGGGATGAGGAAGGGAGACTGAGAAACAAAGGGGCAAGAGATGAAGAATTCATTCAACACGAGCCCCCAAAGTACACTAGGCTGCCAGTCATAGAAACTCTTCGTTAAGAAGGTGGGTACTTTGCACAGGGGTTCAGACATGCTGTGCTATACCAGCTCAGGGCAAGTAGCCTTCTGGAAAACTTCCTCAAGGGACATGGTTCATCAGGGCTGAGTTATTCAAGTTCAGTAGCATCTTTGCTGGAATAAGGTTGGTATAAAATTGGTTTCTCAAGCTCATCATACTTTGAAACTGATTTTGAGTGAAATCTGCTGCAGTAATAAATGGTTCATTTGTTTAGTAAATACAGTATTATTAACAAGTTGAAATTTAGTCCCCAGCAAGGCCCACCCATTTACACGTAAAATTTCTGGAAGACAGGCAGCCATTTCCGTGTGAAAGGAAACAGGAATCGCAGACGCAAAGCAATCCAGGAGTCCTAGAGGACCGTTCTCCTGGTGGGGACGGACACAGCTAAGTTTCTGTCAGCATTCTGTGACGAGTCCATGGATTTTCAGTAGAAATTTAGTTTTTATTTCTACCTCTTCATTGTAGACCTTCCTCAAATTCCCCCCAAAATCATTTTCAGAACTCACCTTTAAAACAAGACAATAAATAACGTTGGGGATATTAAGTCCAATTTACCTTTTATTCCATAAACAGAGTTGGTATTGTAAAGCCAAATAAAAGAAACTAACCGAAAGGCTCTGAAAGGGTTTGATAAATATCAGAGATCCCCTCTACACCACATACCTTTCCTCTGATGTGGAATTTACATATTCCCTGACACAGAGAAGGGCAGCATCTCGACACATCTCTTTTAGGTCACTTCCTGAAAACCCATCAGTTTCCTGGGCAACTTCTAGCAGGTCCACATGCCTATCCACCTTGAACAGATATGTATAAAACACACTTAAAAAACAAACATAAAATATACTGCAAAGGATACATCCATTCTTCTCACAATTAAAGAATGGTAAGCGTACTGGAATAGCATGGAAGGAGAATCATTACAGAGTATTTTCAGTTTCTAGAAGTTTTTTCTAACCATAAAAGCTGAAAATTTGAAATCTAATTTTTATTGTCATCATGACCAAAGAGTGAAATAGGTTGCAGTAGATATATCATGCAGTGATAGTGAAGAAAACATTCAAACAATATTGGATTCACTTCAGTAACTCTTAGAAAGGTCCCATGTTAACCCTTTTCTATAATCTATTCAACATACTTGTCAAACAGCTTGCATCATTAAGTCCCAAGTCCGTTACCAAACACACGTTCCACTGAAATACTCTGACATCCATTTTAATTGTAATAGTTTGGTATTCTACTACGTCAGCATTAATTCAGCATTACAGTCTTGATCTCCAATCTTAGCTTATATGGTCCAGCCAATTAAGTGGCTGTATGGGACATAACAGACTTGGATTAATATAATCACACCAAACTTATATACAAATGATGAGATAAAAGAAAAAAAATGTACCTACAAGAATTATCATCTATTAAATGAATATGTGTCATTTACTTTACATTTAAATTATTTTCATTTAATTCTGTCAGGTAAATATTCTGAAATTTTTCATTTTTAGAGAACAGTGAGACCTGGAAAGGTTAAATAAATTGCACAAGGTCACACCATTGCCAAAGCCAGGATTTGAACACAATGTAGTGGAGGTCCAGCTATATTTGCCCCCATTTAGCTAACCATTTGTCTTTTATTATTATTTTTTTTCTCACTCAAGGACATTTTTGCATTTATCTTCAGAAAGAGCGAGAGGGAGAGAGGGGGAGAAGAGAGAGAGAAACACCAACGTGAGAGAGACACATCAAGTGGTTGCCATCCACATGACCCCAACCGGGGCCGGGGACTAAGTGCAACCAAGGTACCTGCTCTTAGCGGGAACCGAACCCAGGACTCTCTGGTCTGTGGGCCGACGCTCTAACCACTGAGCCAAACCGGCCAGGGCTAACCATTTGTCTTAACATTTACTTCCCCCATTGATTTAAAATGCCACCTTCACTAGTTACTAAATTCCCACTTGTTTTTGTGGAAGATCCAGTGTTTAAGGAAGAAGAGCAAATTTACACAAGGTCAAGAGACTTGGAAGTGAGAGGACATGGGGTCTATTGTCAGCGCTACAACTGTGACCTCACATGACAGTGTTCTGATTCCCAAAGGTGGGGGTTAAAGAAAAACCATATATTATTTGATAAAAAGAAAAGTGAACTCAGGAAGCAGGTGTGAGGCAAATGGTAATAATAAGCAAAGAAAACAGTACACATACAGATAAACCTAAATAAGTTTTACTATGTAAACAGTAATAATAATAATTTGGGGTAGAGAAACTATGGGGAACTAAAATGCTAGACGGTAAGAAAATGTTAATACACAGGGGATATATACATTAGGGCATTCTAAAGTCTTAAAATGAAAGTACTGAAAAGAGGGCAGACCTATTAACTCGGACTTTAAGTATTTATGTAAAAAATATTTTAAGGGTGCCACTAAAAGAGAATGTGTAACTTCCAAACCAGTAGAGAAAACGGAGAAGAGAGGAATAGATAATATAAGAGTAACACTAAGGAACACAGGGTGGGGTACAGTAGGTGGAGAGAAAGCAAAGAAAAAGCATGATAATGGAAAGAATGAATCTAAATTTATGACTAATCACAAATGCAAAATGTAGCTATCTGAGCTTTACAATAGCCACACCCTGTCAAAAGGGAAAAACAGAATAGGCTGTGTTATATTTGAAAGGAAAAAGGCCAAAGGTGAAAGTAAAAGATTGGGAAATGATATATAAAAGGCAAGTGTTACCCAAAAGTAAGCTAATGTAGTTCTGCTTATATAAGATCAATAAAAGTACTCAAAATGCATAATTTAAATAGAAATCATTACACAATAATAAAATATATAACAATTCTGCACTGGTATACATGTAATAACAGCAAAATTAACGTAATTCCAAAGAGAAATTAACGTAATTCCATAGAGAAATAAACAAGTTCACAATACTAGGAAATTTTAAACTTATGTTTCATAACTGATATAGCAGACAGTAAGTTCGTAGAGACAGCTATAGTTAGCACCTGTGATCTAATAATGTAGAAATAAAACCTGACAAATTAAAGTAATTTTGTATAATGTGGATATTAGTCCTTTGTTGGTTATAGAGTTGCAAATGTTTTCCCAGTTCTTTCACTTTGTTCATGTTGCCTTGTTAAACTTCTATAAGTATTAAGTCTGATCATAGTCAGACTCATCTATTTCTCTTTCAAATATAGTTTATACTTTTTTGTGTCTGAAGAACTCTTCTACATGTGTAGATTTGAAATCAGATACATATAAGCTCTAATTTCCCTACTGTTTGTAATAGCGAACAAGTAAAAATAACCCACATCTACACATGTATTATGTATCTATCCATACCCATCATTGGAACTGATACACACTACCAAGTTCAGGACAGCATACTATGAATGATGGTGTGGGGGAGATGTAAAGAAAAATATGTTAAGATCACCTGTTAAATCTGGGTGATGCACATAAGGTTATTTGTGTATAAGTTTCAATTATTTCATAAATTTAAAAAACTACTTAAGAAAGATATTGCAAATTATGCTGAGATGTTAAAATTAGTCCTCCTCCTAAAACAATCTACGCCTCCACCCTATCATCTGAAGACTCCTTTGTTGGGTCACACCATGTTCTAACCACTCACAAATGTGCATGACAGGGTGATAAAGTTACAAAGACGAACAAAACAAGTATGAGAATAGAACCAAAAGAAGTCCAGTCACTGGGGAATCAAGATTAATTTCTCTGGGTTTCAGTTTCCTCAACTATAAAATAGTACTAATATGGATTCATTATATGAATTGAGGATTAAATAAAACAATGTACAATTGACTCTGTGCTTTCATGAATAAGAAACAGAATTCTTAAAATTCCCTGTACCTATACAAATATAATTCTAAAAGAATTCTCAAAGATACTACTGTTAAAAAAAAAAGGCAGAATACTAAGATCAAAGTTAAAATTAGACGTAATGAATAGTTTAAGTAAATGTGAAAACGTAATGACCTGTGAAAAGTATGACTGTCTTATGACACAAAAAGCTCTCGGGGCATGGGATGATGTTCAACCAACTGAGCTACACTGGCCAGGGCAAAAGCAGATTATCTTTAATTAGCTCAAGTATACCATAGTTATTGAGTTACATAATCAGCCAAGAGTTTTATAGTAATTTACCTCAAGTTCAAAACTACATTATTCTCAGCTTTCTTTTTCATTTTTCTCTAACCTGATTTAATGAGCATAAAGATGATATTTATAGGAGAGAAAATTCTCATTTTCTACTTACATTTTCATTTTTCAAGATGAGTTTCAGAATTGCTTCTCTTTGTTTCAGAGCCTAAAACCAGGATAATTTCCAGTTAGCTGTTTTTTTAAAAAAAAATAAGGATCAACTAGTTTTCCTAGTACTTCTTCCTTCCCTGTAAAATACTTGATAATCCCTACAGGCAATGACAGAAACTCTGTCAGAGGTCACAGAAACTACTGACTCTAGCCTCTACAATAATCTTTTGTGGTTGTCCTGCTCGACTCCATCTTCTTATTCTGAATGCCCAGAGCCGAGCACATGCCTGGGAGGAAACGCGCCCTTCAATGTTTCTCTTGAGCGAGCAGACGAGTACTATGGCTACCAATGACTTTCCTCCACTGCTCTCTGCATGTTTCCTTTTCTTCATTTAGGAAACTTCTGAAAACACCACTGCCATGCAGTTGTTACCAGTAATTGAAGAGATGGCAACTATACCCATAGTTCCTCCATTTCAGCACAGAGCTTCGATGTTCCCTAATTTACATGAGTGAATTTTTATTTAGTGTTGATAGGACATCTGTTCATATGCCTGTATGCTTCCCCCCACTGATGTTTCTTATACCAGAGAATAGAAACTGGTATAGAATACCTTATACATAGTAAGTATAAATGCTTTTAAGAATCACTATGGCTAAACTCATCCCTATTTCCACAACCATTGAAAAAACAGAGCTGATTACAACAAACATCAAATCAAATGATGTAAAAAACAAAACCAAACCCTGCTATTTCTACAACTTAGGGTGTTACATATGAAGGCTAATTTGGTATGTTAGGTGATCACTGAAAACTTTTTTAGATAAACATTTAACTTGGAGACTTTAAGATTAAGGTAAGGTTAATCATACACTTTGACGTCACATAGTTACACAATAAAAGAAAATACCCTATTCTCTAAAAAATAGAATGAAAAGAGGGTTACAAAATCCCAGTTTCTACATTAACAGTATTCAAATTTATAACAATTTAAATCTATTACAACTATTACAACTCATCTGATAACTCACAAAGTTAATATACCAAATGTATAACTTTAGTACAGTCTCCTTTCCATGCCGTGTGCTCTGTTCTCTTCTGCTGTATTCTGTTTTGTTTTCTGTTGGACTACAAGCAAAGACTCTACCAATGCAATCTTCATCTTCAAACCAGAGGTAAACTAACGTTCCGGAAACATGGGTATAGTTGCCACCTCTTCAATTACTGGTAACAACAGATGTCTAGCTAACAAAATAAAATTGAAATTCTTGTGTGAAGCATACAAAGTTTATCTAAGCTGGGCAACAGTCTACCCGTCCAGTTTCATGGTCTCTTTTCCTTGATGCCCTAAGTGAAGTACCCCAGAAGTCACAGATAAACATGAGCTTCCATACCTTCTTGCCTTTGTTCATTTTGGCAGAAAAGCCTCTACTGCCTATTAATAATTTCCTACCATACTTCAAAGCCCAGCTAGATTCTGTAGAATTTTTTAAACATTTTATCTATTGATTATTTTTTAGAGAGAGAAAGGAAGGGGGAGAGAGACAAAGAAACATCTATTTGTTGTTCCACTTATTTATGTATTGGCTGCTTCTTGTATGTGCACTGATGGGGGAATTGAACCCACAACGTTTGCATATCGGGACAATACTCTAACCAACTAAGCTACTTGGCCAGGGCTGGATTCTGTAAATTTCAACAACTCCTCAGACAGAACTACTAGTTTTCATCATTATTTCAGGTTCTCACAGTTCTTTAAACATACCTTTGTAAAGTGAACTTGACATCATTTATTTACATGTCTGAAGAGTTCTTTGAGGACATGTGCCATGTTCATTCACCAGAGCCTCTCAGGTGTATGACATGTATTAATGCTCAATAAATATTAGTCATACAAAATAAATTGTATATGCTCCTATATCAGGTTAAAAAATCTTATCAGGTAAATTTTCTAATAGAGTGGTTAAGTCCTGTAAATGCATATTCTCAGAGGAACCAGAGGTTGTAGCTATAGCAAATCAAGTAATTTCATAGAGGCTACAACCATTGATCTTTAGGAAACAGGTTTACTGCCACAAACTGATCTGGTAAGCTGCAGAATATCAAGTGAGACAGAAATTGTAAATAAATTATAAATTACAATATTTACTTCAATACTTGAAAGGAGCAACCCTAAAAGTTCCTCTATATGGCTATACAGGTAATGTGCTGATTGTACAGCACATATCTTCTATTACTGATTTTTTTTTTGTTCTTTCTTCTTTGATCTAAAGGCAGAGAGAATTCAAGTTCTTTTTTAAAAAAATATCTTTATTGACTTGAGAGAGAGAGGAACGGAGAGGGAGAGCTAGAAACATTGATAAGAGGGAACATCGACTGGCCGCCTCCTTCATGCCCTACACTGGGGACTGGGCCCACAACCTGGGCATATGCCTTGACTGGGAATCAAACCAGCGACCTCTGGGTGCATGGGTCGACGCCCAACCAGTGAGCCACACTGGCAAGGTGAAAATTCAAGTTCTGAGTATTCTGTACAAAAATTAAAGTATCGATAAATTATTATCATCTACTAGAGGGTACTTCTTAACTAACGAAAGAATGCTAGCAAAAAGATATTACTGGGCCAACACCACTCTCACACTCCCATTAATTAAAGTGTAATAGCTTAGCTACGGGCTAATCATTAATCCTGTCAAAGGAAAGCACTGATTACAACTCCAGTGCTTAGTCAAATAAATCCCAGCTGTTTATCCTGTCAGGCCTTCTGAACAAGGCGATTCTTTAACCCCAACCTCCCCAATTTCATCCTATGTGAAACCAAAACTATAATTTAGATTTTCATAGGTATCTTCCATAGATAACTCGCTAGTCTAAAAAAAACCTACTAAAGTGTGTAGGCAAGCTTAACGTAATTACCTACTTTGAGGAGAAGCAAATAATATTGATCTTAGGAAAGAAAGAAATAAGAAAAAAAGCAAGAGAGTAGAAAGAACAAAGCAATTATGTGGAACCTTGTCCTAGTCCTTCCTTGCCCACCATAAATAAGTGCTATTTTTATAAAAATCATTCCTTTCTTGAAATCAAAAGTAAAGACCTTTAAAAAGTGAATATGTAACTGTTCATAACATGAATCAAAACCACCTACAGGCTGATTGATATGAAATCTTGTAGGCATTCTTCTCATGATAGCTGAGTCAAGATCCTGGGGACGATTAGTAGCTCCCATCACTATGACCTAAATATATAAAGAAAACAAAGGTATTAAATCCACCAACAATATTCCTTGTAGGTTGTTATTAAAAGGGCTTAGAACATATAGAAAGTCAAGTGGTATAAAAACTAAATCTTCTATAAAGAAGTCTGATATTAATCCAGTATGTATTACTCAAATATTTATAGATACAAATAGAAGTTACTCTTAAATAATAGATCAGGTGATAGCACAGCTGGTAAGATTTCTTTAAAAAACGACTGTATTTTGCAAAATATGGTTACTCAATGGCTAAACACTGAATAACTAAAAGTCATATAACTTGGGAGTGTACACAGAGGAATATTTCAAGTCCCTGAATGATAATATTAAGGAGAGAATTATTTCCCCTAAGTCTGAGGATGCTGGTAAAAGTAATAGATATGTACTTTTCCCTCTACATTTCACATAATTATGTCATGGCATATATCAGCACTACAGGTGACACTTTTCAGTACTAATAAAACCTTAAGCAATCCAACTTTAAACAATGGCAACTGAATAAAAGTAAACACCAAATTTCTGGGTAGAATTGTTTTTCCAATTTTTTCTTTTTCTTTATTGATTTAAGAGAGAGGAAGGGACAGGGAGAGAGAGAGAGAAACATCGATGAGAGAGAACATTGATTGGCCGCCTCCTGCATGCCTCCCACTGGGGATTTGGCCCACAACCTGGGCATGTGCCCTGACTGGGAAACGAACTGGAGACTTCAGCCACACTGGCCAGGCCAGGGTAGAGTTTTTTTTTTAAAAATGATGGTGACCCTGTCAACCTCAGGGTCAATGTCACTTATTTATAAAGAATGTAGAGATGAAAAATCAACACAAATAAAGACAAAGATATAAAAAAACAAGTTAATTTCTGAAGGGCTTCAATATTACCATCACTGTTGATATTTCTGTATAACCCAGTAACAGCATACATCTGCTATCCAAAATGAAATTTACTGGTATTCTAAAGGAAAGTTTTATTTCTTTAATATTATTTCATTAACACATAAGAGGTCTTAGAACATGCTGAAAGATCCATTAAATCTTACATTCTACTTCTTTTCTACATTTAATGATATTTAAGAGCCAAATTACTTTCCATTAACTGTGAGAGGTTGCCCCCTAGAGGGGAAAAAATATATATACAAATATAAACTTGAGAAATATTAGTTCTACAGTGCAATTCTATGTTTGGGTTAAGTGGTCCTAAAAAAAAAAAAAAAAATCAAGATATTAATGCTCCTACCTGTTTTCTTCACTGACTATTTAGAACTCTATAAAATTAATAAGAAAAGAAATTTTCTACTAAATGTAAAACCAAAAAAAAAGTCTTAAAAGTGATCAAATGAACTAACTGCATAAGATAAAGGATGAATGTAAGTAAGTACATTTTGAGATTGAGTACATTAAGTGTTAAAACAGAGATTCAAAATGATATGGAACTATGATGAAGATTGATATTAGGTAGTAGAGAATCACAAAATGCACTCTGGTTGAGGCAGTACCTGAAAGAAACTGGAAACAGGCTGTTTTATGAGAAATATTCTAAGTAAACAGCCTAAAACAAAACAAAACAAAAACCCATTACGGAAGATGAAATGCAAAAATTTGGATCAAGGAATCTAAAAAATCTAGCATTAACACATGGTCTAATTAATACATATAATATTCATGACAAAAAAGCAAGAGCAAATGAAACCAGCTGTAGTTTCACTTCAAGAAGCACATTTTAAGGGTGATTTTAAAGGGCAAAAACAGGTAGCTAACTTTTACATCTATCTACCTGTTATCTTTAATGTATTATCTTTAATGTATATGAACTAAAATTCAAAATGGGAAGCAACAGTATTTTTTTGTATTTAAGCAACAAAATTAATGCACCTTTTAGATATTAGTTAAGACGTTTAAAAATCTTTAAAATAAAGGTATCAAGATACATTTTTTATCATTTCACAAGTAAAATAATCAGATCTAACTTTATGCCTCAAAACCTTGTCAATGACTATCCTTAAAATTTTTGTTTTTTATAATATGTTTCTATTGATTTTTTAGAGAGAAAGGGAGAAAGAGAAACATCGATGTGAGAAACATTGATCGGCTGCTTCCTGTACGCCCCCTACTGGGAACCGATAAAAATTGTTATCTTTTATGTCCCATGTCTCTCAAGATGAAGACTACGTCATCAGTTAACTTGGATTTCCAGCAGTGGTGACAGGTTTAATTGTGCCATTTAACTTTTTTTTCCTTTGTGGCCTTATCAGACATACAGGAAAGCTGGCTGGGGTACTAAGCTCCATCCGCAGTCATGGAACAGACAATCTTAGAGATAAACTAACTGGTTCAGATCAAAGAAGAATATGTCTAAAATTGTTATTCAAATTAATAATGTCAATTTTAAACCCCACAACAGAAAAAAGTAAAAGAAAGTTGTTGCTAGAATTTAATAACAGTAAGTACTACCAGCGTGATAAGGAACCATGGTTCAGTTTCAAGCTGTGTTGTATTAGAACCATGTTGTGTGCCTCTAGAGTGTAAACTTCATCCAATTGTCACTCATACCTTGGTTTTTAAAGCTATAATCTGATATATAAAATTAAGCTATTTTCTCTTAGATGGTCTAAACTATTCAATTGTCTAAGTACTTTCAATTCTGTTGCTTAGGAAGATATTAGTTTTGGGAAACATATGAACTACTATTAAAAAGATTTATCAGAACCAATTATTAATAAAAATGGTTTCTATTAATAAATGTATCTGTTGTACTTACTTCTCTCATCATCCTACACACACTAAAGGTACTTTCCCTCATAATGAAATTATATTTTCATAAAGGTAATGTAGAAGGAGGGCATGTGGCTTAATTTTCCTCCCGAGCATGTGTTTTCTACTTTTGATTTATGGTAATGTGGTGGATACAGGAGATCCTTTATCCCTCTGGCTATAAAACATACAAAAACAATAAAGTATTAAAAAAAACTCAAATAAATTAATTGACAAACTGCAAAAAAATAAAGGAATTAAGCTGAGACCAGTAGTGAAACCTGTGCTTTAGGGAGGTAAGCAAGAGTAGACGTTGACCACATTATGAACATGTACAGATCTTAGAAAGTGGGGTGTGCAATGGACACCTTACAGGCCAAAGAGCCTGATGAGACCACCCTACTGGAACTCATAAAGTACTACAGCCTGAGAAAACTGGTAAAATATTAGAAAACCCATTCAGCAGAGTCAAGCCTTGGTTCTTACAAAGACATATAAACACATACACCCATGTGAAATCCCTGAGATTTCATGGTTCATGGTCAGCTAACATGGATCTCAAACCTGAATTTACCTATTTGTGTTGGGAAAAAAATCTGGCAAAAGACAAATACAAAATCCTCTTAGAGCAACAAACCTTCAATATAGGTTCCAAACATTCATGCACAAGTTCTACCAAATGATTTTTCCCATGAAATCACAAAACACAAGGGACATAACCATTATAAACTCAAATGACAGAACCAGAAATACAAAAAGTCAAGTTAAAATTATTGAATACAGACTAATTCTGAGGTTGAAACTAGCCTTCCCTTTTTATAGCTATTAACTCCTCTATTCAGATAGAGTGATTATATCATTTGGCCAAGGTCACACAGCTAGTTGATGCCGTCTCTGGTTTTCTAAACCAATAGGAAACATGAGTTGATCAGTAAGAGCCCATAAAAAAGAACATGGCCATCTTGAAAAAGAATCTAAAAGAATTTCTAGAACTGAAAAATGTAATTACTGAAATAATATACACAATGAAAGCATTAAATAGCAGAAGAGATCCAACTAAACTTAAAATTATCAAATTAGAACAGGTAAAGAAATTACCTAGATTGTAGCACAAAGAGAAACAAAATGTGAACAAATAGTTAAAACACATGTATTATAAATAAAGTACATCCAATTGGCACTCCATAAGGAGAGCACATGGGGAATAGAGATGAAACAGTCTTTTTGAAGAAATAACTTTTCAGAAGTAACAGAAGGTGTGATTCTAAATAACAGTTTTTGTGTGTTTGTGTTTTTAAGGGCAAAAAACAGATTACAAAGTAGAAAATACCTAATAAAGTTAAAACAACAAAATAATATTTTTAATTCTTTCAAAACTTTTCCAAGAGATATAAGTAACTCACCAAAAAAAAAGGAGAAAAGAAAAATGGTTCTAGAACTTCCAGCAATAGGGCAGAAAAACAAATATGCCAGATACATTTTTTTTTTCTTTTAAAATGCATCAATGATCTGGTAAGAATGTATGAAATATTCACAGGTGAAGAATTAAGTGAAAATGGGACGCCAAAGAGGTAAACTGAGTAATAGCCGGCTTTCTCTTTGGAGGGCACACCAAGGGACTTTAGTTTTGGTTTTCACAGCTTTGAGTGTAAGAGACAAAGCCTAGGACAGAAGACTCATATAAAATTGGGATTCTAAAGGAAAGTGCACATAACAGGAAGTGGGAAAGTGCATATGTCTCAGTAATTAATTAAAATGTTAAAAACGAAAAAAGATAAGTAACATAAGAACTGAGAGTAAAGACTATAAAGATTTATGGTAAGAATCAAAAGAAACATACCCAGAGCCACTAGTCACTTCCTCTTCCTTGGCATAATGGTCATAAAAATTCTAAGGAGAGGCTTCACCCTGGGTTTTTTTCTTCTATTACATTTGTTTCAGGCACTGAGGCAATCTATTAACATTCTGTTACACATGAAGACCTCAAAATAGATGAAAATGTATATAAACCATAGTTTTTCAGATAACTTTAATTAAGAAAAAGACTTCTGTAAAAAAGCCAAAAATGTTCTACCACCACCACAACACAAGTTTAAGGCACATTTCTTACAAATACCTGGCAGCTGTGATCAGTATCCAATCCATCCCAGAGACTCATAAACTGAGCTTTCATCATGGCTGTAGCTTCATGGTCAGAACTTGAACGGTTTCGTAGAAAGGAGTCTAGAAGAAAAAAGTTCTTAATGTTAGAAATTAATAAATTACTCTTTATATAATTTCAAATCACTTAATCAAAAGCTGACAACTTCCTGAAAGATTACAAGAAAAGGGGCTACTAGGCCTTTTCACAATATTTTGATATAACAATTTTGACACATTGGGCAAATTAAAAAAAAAAAAAAATCAATTCACAATCTTCGTTTCTTTCTTAAAAATACATTTATGCTAACATATATAAAAGAAGTAGAGGATCTGGTACTGAGAGGCTAGAAAAAGATTAAATAGTGCCTTGGAGGAAAATCTGTGTACTTTGGCCCTAACTTTCCAGATTATCTGTATACTTTGTGCTCTTAATTATGGGCACATCCTTTCCCTCACACTTTCCCAGTTAATGACATTAGAAAACGTTGAAACACCATTAAGTGGGAAAACGTAGGCGAGATAATGATTTAAAACACACAAGCTAGCATACATGTACATAATGTTACACATAGTAAAAAAACAAAACAAAAACAAAATGCAAATAACTTTGGTTATTGCTTAATAATAGACTTAAGAACAACTTTAATTTCCTGTTTTGAATTATTTTGTCTTCCAAATGATCTACAATGACCATGAAATGCTTTTAAGAAGTAGGGAGGCATTTTCGCTCTCTAATGAAAAAAAATGAAAGGTGGTATGGTACATCTTAAGAATAAAAAGACAGTAAAATAAATCCTGGATTTTCTAATACTATCCCTATTTCAAATGTTTTGTCATAGTATCATTTCAAATTATTGGCATTTGTAACTTTCACATTTCAGCCTTGAAACTAGAACTTGAAGTGGCACAAAATGCTTTGTAATGTTCTAGGTCTAAGCTTTTTTTTTTTTTTAATGTTTTTATTGATTTTTCAAAATCAATAAAATTGATTTTTTTTCTTTATTGATTTTAGAAAGAGAGGAAGGGAGAGGGAGAGACAGAAACATTGATGAGAGGGAACATTTCCAGATTAGAGTCTTAGATGGAAATTACAAAAAAATCCAGCTATATGCTCCTTCATGCAAAATGCATACCAAAAACCCAAAATAGTTGGAGTAGATTGATAAGAAATATACACAAGGGCAAACCAGTAATCTTTCTCTATATTTAGCTCTTTCTCTATATTTCTATATAGCCTATCATATTACATATATTTTTATATAATTTATATATAACATATATAATTATAGTGGTACAATTAATACAAAGGTATAGGTTTAATTACTATAGCTTTTATTGCACATATAACTTATTGTACCAGGAACAGAACAAAAATATTGATGATTCATAAAATATAGAAAAAGTCCACTAATAATAAAGTCATGACATATACAGAAAAATTATCTACATTGTCAGTCCACATGGAAAAGAATGACATTAAAGTCCCACTTCATGCTATATATTTTTAAAAAGGAGAATATTTATGGGGATAGTGAAGGGACTATAAACCAGATAGAAAAAGTATAAATCATAAAGAAAAAAGAATGATAAATGTAACTACATTCAAATTTAAATATCTGTAGAAGAAGCTATCATAAAGTGAAAAGACAAGCCAGTCTAGAAAATATTTGCAATCATAATGAACATCAACAAAGAACTACCAAGAAAAATCACCCCCCACAAACAATAATTTACAAGAAAAAAAAAACCCTAATGATTAATCAACATGTTAAAAGACACCCAAATTTAATAGTAATCAGGAAAGCTGAGATTAAAACAATGAGAAGATAATTTATGCTATTTAAATTGGCAAAAAGTAACAAAAATGTCTGAAAAAAACTTTAGGGCATATCTAGGGATACAAACCACACAGTAATGAAAGTGAAAACAGGAATAACCATTTTGAAGAACTGGTAGTCCTAGAGGTTGAAGATGAACACAGCACAGAACCTAATGGTTCAACTTCTAGACATCTACCCTGGACAAACATATGCTCAAGAAAACATGTACATGGATGTCTATTGCATTGCTTGTAAGAGGAAAAACAGAAAAACTATCAAGTAGGATAATGAACAGACATTCTGCAACACAAATTATACATAGCACATTAGGATGGTGGTTCTCTCTTCCATTTTATTAATTTGGCTTTAAAAATGTTAAAAACTCGCCCTGGCCGGTTTGGCTCAGCGGTTGGAGCGTCGGCCTGCGGTACAGAGAGACCGGGTTCGGTTCCCGCTAAGGGCACGTACCTCGGTTGCAGTTTGTCCCCGGCCCTGGTTGGTCGTGCGGGTGGCAACCACTCGATGTGTCCCTTCACATCGATGTTTCTCTCTCTCTCTCTCCCTCCCGCTCTATCTGAACAAAAAATGGAAAAATGTCCTCGGGTGAGGATAAAAAAAAAAATGTTAAAAAACTCAATCTCATCTTCTAAATACCACCCTTAAAAATAGCATTTTAAAATGCTCCCACAGAAAATATAGCATACCTATTTCATCTATAAAGATGATGGAAGGCTGTAGCTTTATGGCAAGGGAAAAAACAGCAGCAGCTAATTTCTGAGATTCTCCATACCACTTATCTGTCAGTGTTGAAGGCTGAAGGTTAATAAATCGACAGCCCGCTTCTTTGGCTGTAGCCTTGGCAATCAACGTTTTACCACAGCCTGGAGGCCCATAGAGAAGAACACCTGGAAATTAACATGTTATATTATTATTTTATTATTTCCTTTGAGAGAACAAGATATTTGCTTTAGTTTATGCGATAAAATTTTTCCCAATGTTCACTTGTTGAAGTGAACTCCACAATGCTAATATTTATGAAGGGCGATAAATACCTGGTTCTGCAAATTAATGTGAGGCACTTAGTGGTAATTTTGCAACCTTTTAACGAGTTTTTTGAGCTTAGTCTGATACTTTCAGAACCACTCTCAACAAAATAAAAATGTGTTTCTTATTTTGTGCTTTCTAGAGGCTTAAAAATGTAAACCCCATTTTAAAATGAATACTTTTACTAAGGGCTTTATTTTGTAAGTACTGCATGCAAATAAAAATTTAGGATGAGGAAGAAAAGAAGTATTGGGACAAGCGGATCCAAATTTGAAGTAATCCTTATTAGTGACAAATATTACCTTATTAGTGACCAACTTTTCTTTCTTTTCTGGACAAGTTTAGTTTTTTTATTATTATTATTTTTTAATTTTCACCTGAGAATATGTTTTAGTGATTTTAGAAAGAGGAAAGAAGGAGAGAAGGAGAGAGAGAGAGAGAGAAATATCAGTGTGAGAGAGAAACATGGATCAGTTGCCTCTGGCATGGATCCGAAACCTAGGTATGTTCCCCTGACTGGGAATCGAACCCAAAACCCTTAAGGTGCACAAGATGATGCTCCAACCAACTGAGCCACCTGGCTAAGGGCTGAACTTGTTTACTGACTTTCAAGCTTTAAATTAAAAATTTGTCCAAATGGTGGAAAAATAATCTGTAAAAATTAAATCAATATATTTTAATATAAAGCATCCAAGAAGGAGGAATGTAGGCCTTAATTGCCTACATCAGAAAATCAATTTTTCAAAAAATTTTTTAGGTTTTCTACATTTTTAAGAATGTAGAAATAAGAAATATGATGAAATTCACAAACATGAAATTTACATGTCAAAATTATATTTACTGAATTCAGAGTTTATAGATGGAGCCATAAAGTATTCAAATGGAATTTTAACCGTTATAAATTTTTAATGTTTAGGTGAAACAAGGGTTACATTTATTTATGCAACAACTAATATATCACGGCATGTTCTCATAACCAATTAGTGGCATGATCGATCCAACTTTGTCTTCATATAATCTTATTATAATCTCGCATGCTGCATGAATGGTACATAACAAGTCAATTCTCAAAGTATTGTTTTCTAGTCTATGAGGCAGTGATCACTTTCAGCTTAGACAGCAATGACTGTCTACAGCTAACATAAACTTGGCAATAAAGCAATGACTCTAACCTAGGTAACCTGTTTCCAGTCCAAAAATGGAACAAGTGTGGCATACTACTGATTTTATATTCTGCTTCTGTATACTAATACTCAATTTATGTTGTGGATCAAAAAGCAAATCAATGATTTTTCAAACTTATGTTCATAATAAAAAAATTTTCCAAAAAAGCAAAGCTGAAAAAGCTCTAATAGCAAAACATTAGATTACATAATCAGGAGATACTCGTGTAACTTTAAAGTATTTAAAATACACATAGGAACCACCTCTAATTTTAAATAATGCTTTCAAATAAGCAGCAGATTTACACATAACTGTTAAAGTATTTTTTCGTAATTTTGTATCTGCTATGCTAACTGAGGCTTTAAACCAAATCCAACTGGTGAAGTTACCTAATTACCTGGAGTAAGACATCGGTGATAAGAAAAGGAGCTTTCTCTTACAACATATAAAAACACATTTGTCTGTCCTAAATTTACTACTATTGTGAAACTGAGTAAGTAATTACCTTACCTTTTTGATCTGGGCTCAGATAAATCATTAGACATTTTCTTGAGGGGAAAAATATCACAATAAACTAAATGCTTTTTGTTAGAGGGGAAAAAAGCTGCTTTGCTGTTTCAGAAAATAAAAATACCTTATAAACAGCTTTATTGCTTTAGTTAATGAAAAGAATATGACATTTATGGTGCTAATTTGTTATCCTCTATTTACCAGAAATAAAAATTATCTACTTTCCGGCCCATGTGGCTCAGTGGTTGAGCATCGACCCATCCACCAAGAGGTCATCGGTTCGATTCCTGGTCAGGGCACATGCCCAGCTTGAGGGCCCGATCCCCAGTGAGGGGCATGCAGAAGGCGGCCAATCAATGTTTCTGTATCTCTCTCCCTCTGAATTCCTCTCTCTCTAAAATCAATAAAGAAAAAAATGTGTATATATATATATTTTAAAAATTATCTACTTCATTAAAATGTCCAAGTAACCCAAGAACTTATATGTATATATGCATAACCAACAGACACAGACAATAGTGCGGTGATGGGGGAGGGGAGTAGAGAGGAGGGTGTCACTGGGGGAAAAAAGAGGGATATCTGTAATACTTTCAACAATAAAGATAAATTTTTTAAAAAGTATAGGTATTGGCCTCATTTACCTTCGAAATACAAATTAATGCACTTGATAGAGTTGCAAAATTAGTAAGATTATAAGCAATTACAACTTATACAAAGTGCTATTTTGATACTTCCACAAATCCTATCTTTAAAAATGCACTTGCCTAATAATTTGAGTTCAGTCTAAACTATCACCTTAATCAAACTTGTCTAGTTTTAGCAAAGCAATAAAGAGAAGTTGCCACTAGATGAAAATAAATAAACTATACTCTCGCATTTGTATCTGAACGCATGACAATACACCTCCATCTCTCTGTCAAGTTATCATGTTAGCTTCATTTAAAATACCTGTACCAAGCCCTGACCAGTTTGGCTCAGCGGTTAGAGCGTTGGCCTGCGGTCCGGAGAGACCCGGGTTCGGTTCCCGCTAAGGGCATGTACCTCGGTTGCAGTTTGTCCCGGCCCTGGTTGGTCGTGTGGGTGGCAGCCACTCGATGTGTCCCTTTCACATCGATGTTTCTCTCTCTCTCTCTCTCTCTCTTCCTCCCACTCTATCTGTACAAAAAATGGAAAAATGTCCTCGGGTGAGGATAAAAAATAAAAAAAATACCTGTACCAAGGCTTAAACATGATTACTATTTGAGTGAACAAGAATCAAAGTATTATATTTAAGGACGCAGTTATAAGCCTTTTCAATTCTTTTTTTTTCCATTAATTTACTTTTGTTACAGATATTTCTCCTTTTTCCCCCATTGACACCCTCCTCCCCGAGCCCTTTCAATTCTTGAGTTTCAAGGCTTTCAAAATGATTACTAACTATGAACAAGAAAAAGTTTTCCTTAAAAATAAGGTGCATTTAATGCCTAGTTCACCTGTAGTTCATTATTTCCTGTAAAAAATAATCAGCCTTGGCCAGTGTGACTCAATTGGTTGGTAAATTTAGGACAGACAAATGTGTTTTCATATAATGTAAGAGAAAGCTCCTTTTCCTACAAGCAATGTCTTACTCCAGGTAATTGGGTCACTTCACCAGTTGGATTTGGTTTAAAGCCCCAGCAGCATCACAGATACAAAATTATGAAAAAATACTTTAACAGTTATGTATAAATCTGCAGTTTATTCGAAAGCATTATCTAAAATTAGAGGTGGTTCCTATGTGTATTTTATTAAGATTTTTTTTTTTATCCTCACTCGAGGACATTTCTCCATTTTTTGTTCAGATAGAGTGGGAGGGAGAGAGAGAGAAACATTGACATGAAAGGGACACATCGAGTGGTTGCCACCCGCACAACCCATCCAGGGCCAGGGACAAACTGCAACTGAGGTGCTATATGTATTTTAAATGCACAAAAGAGCATGGGTTCGATTTCAGGGCAGGGTACATACCCAGGTTGTGGGTTCGATGCCCAGTCAGCAACCAATCAATGTTTCTCACATCTCTTTTTCTCTTTCTCTCTCTTTTTTCCCTTCCTCTCTCCCTAAAAAAATCAATAAAAACATACCCTCAAGTGAGGATTAAAAAAAAAAACAAAAGAAAAAAAAAATCATTGCATTAAAAATAATTAATATTGAAAAAAAATCACTAGAACTGTGAAACAAAAAAAAAAATCTTGTTGTATATGAAACCTATATAATCTTATTAACCAATGTTACCGCAATAAGTTAAATTAAAAAAATCACTAGAGCCCTGGTCGGTTTGGCTCAGTGGTTAGAGCGTCCGCCTGCGGTCCGGAGAGACCCGGGTTTGGTTCCCGCTAAGGGCATGTACCTCGGTTGCAGTTTGTCCCCGGCCCTGGTTGGTCGTGCGGGTGGCAGCCACTCGATGTGTCCCTTTCACATCGATGTTTCCCTCTCTCTCTCTTCCTCTCTCCCTCCCACTCTGTCTGTACAAAAAATGGAAAAATGTCCTCGGATGAGAATAAAAAAAAAAAAAAAAATCACTAGAACTGTGAAACAACAAAAAAAATCTTGTTGTATATGAAACCTATATAATCTTATTAACCAGTGTTACAGCAATAAGTTAATTTTTTTTAAAAAGTCCTATCTTGAAAACAAAAAAACCGATACTGTGACTTTGGATTTATTTTATTTTATTTTTAAATCCTCACCCAAGGATATTTTTCCATTTATTTTCAGACAGAGTGGGAGGGAGGGAGGGAGGGAAGGAGAATGAGACAGACAGAACGAGAGAGAGACATCGATTGCCTGCCTCCCATAAGACCCTAACCAGGGTCAGGGACCAAACTGAAACCAAGTACATGCCCTTGACTGGAATCGAACCCGCAACTCTTTGGTCCTCAGGCCAATGCTCTAACCACTGAGCAAAACTGGCCAGGGCTTGGATTTTTTTTTTTTTTTAATTTTTTTATTTATCGATTTTAGAGAGAAAGTAAGGGAGAGAGAAAGAAAGATAGAAACGTCAATGAGAGAGAACACCGACAGGCCGCCTTCTGCATGTCTCCCACTGGGGATCGGGCCCACAACCTGGGCATGTGCCGATGGGAAATCGAACCAGCGACCTCTTGGCGCATGGGTCAACACTCAATCACTGAGCAACACGGGCTGGGCTGGATTTTTTTTTTAAACCTTGATTTCCTTAATTTTCATTTACTTGGCAGTAATAAATTAGTTTGAAATTAAGGGATTATTTTGCACTGTAACTATAGGGGAAAATTTTTTATCTAAATTTGAGAAGCTAAAGAATGAGCAATTATATTAAACTATTATTTATAAAAGTTTACTAGATATCAGCATTCTCTTGAAAATCTAACTTCAAACCCACCAGTTCTATAATAACAAAGTTGCAATCGTTCCAAGATTTTTAAAGCTGTAGCAAATATAAACTTTTACTTTACCTTTTGGGGGCTGCAGAAGCCTGGAATTTTCAAACAAGTGTTTCTTCTTGATCGGTAAGATGACGGTGTCTTTCAGATCCGTAATGACATCGTCTAAACCTGCTATATCACTCCACGTAACCTGGTAAAAGGTAAGGTCAACATGAAGTTTACAACTGATGTCTACTCACTGAAATTTAAAAAAAAAATTCCCCCAAATGGCAAAATTTAATCTGATACATATAAATAATAAAAGATTAAAATTATATATTCATATGAGTAAAGACTTTTCATAGCAATAACAAAATTAAACTACTATGACACTGCAAGACGGAATTTAATAGTCAACTACCTACTAGTAAAAAGAAAGAGCAATGAAAACTCTGCAGGGATTTAACAAGCTGAATTTATTCCATTTTAGAGGGGAAATACCCTGCCAAGAAGATTGAGAACCAGCTCAGTTAATTCAGCACTGTTGGTCTAGAAGAGCTCACCAGAAGTGCACCTAATTCATATATGATGCTGTCAAACATAATAGGAATGAATTTTAGAAATAAGGTTATACCACCAAAATGGACTTCTGAATTTTATTAATCAAAGTGAAACTGTTAAAACTTGTCTTTATAAATAATAAACAGGGAACAGTTTAAAAATAGACACAGTTTGTATATTTTAAAGCCTTCTGATTCAACTTTAAAAAAATTTTTTTTTCGGAAAATAAACTAACTAAAAAGACCTTAAAAATAAAAATCAACCTAACTCTAATATGGCTGAGTAAAGGGACTGAACGTGGGGCCAGTCAGAAGCAGTATTTACAACAGACTTACTTTCTTTACAATTTAAAAATACAAAAAAAGAAATACTGCAGCCAAATCCACTAAAATCATCACCTACCTTCACTGTAGCAAAAAAGTCTGTCAGTACAGCTTTACTCAGAAGAGAATATAGGTAAGGTCTCAAAAAGTACCATTGTAAATTTATAAATCAAATTCAAATGGAGGATTAATTCTGGGGATATGTATGTCTTTGTGCACACAGATAATAGCACAATGTAGATATTTATTTTCTAAATTTGGGAATAGGATATCATATTTCATCCTATTTATTTATACCTCTTGTTACAAAATTTATTTAAACCTCTTCTTATAAAATATTAATATAGGATTTTTTAGAGTTTATGAATTACATTAGTCTGATCCTCATAATAACCCTCTTTAAGTACACAGAGCAGGTATTATACATGTATAAGCCAGTATAATTCCCTAGATTATACATGAGGGGACTGAGACTCAAAGAGAAAATAATTTGCCAAGGCCATGAAGAGAAAAACTGGAATTCAAAATCTTGCATTGCCTACTATATCTCATTATGAAAATCTAGATTTAAACTCCAAATCAAATATCCACATGACTTAAAGCAATACATTTTATTTATTTATTTTTAATGTTATTTTACTGATTTTTTTAGAGACAGAGGAAGGGAAAAATAGAAATATTGATTGGCTGCCTCCTGCACGCCCCCTACTGGGGATTGAGCCCGCAACCTGGGCACTGTGCTCTGGCCAGGAATAAACCCGGACCTCTCAGTTCATGGAACAATGCTCAACCACTGAGCCACAATGGCGGTGCAAAGCAATACATTTTATATGCTACAAAGGCAAATATTAAAAAGCACAAATTTGCCCTGGCCAGTTTGGCTCAGTGGTTAGTGTTGTCCTTCGGATCAAAGAGTCTTGGGTTCAATTCTGATCAAGAGCAAGTAACTCGGTTGTGGTTCGGTCCCCGGCCTTGGTCCGGGTCATGGAAGGCAACCAATCTATGTCTCTTTCTCACATCGATGTTTCTCTCTCTCTCTTTCTCTTTCTCTCTCTTTCCCCCTCCCACTCTATCTGAAGATAAAAATGGAAAAATATTCTCAGGTGAGGTTTTTTTTTTAAAAAAAAGCACAAATTTAACTAAACAAATGTGCACAAAAATAATTTAACATCGCAGGACTGAGATTATTATCCTTAGAAAGGCCTGCTTGCAATGCAAGCCCTTGGCTGGAATACGGGAACTTAGGTTTTAGGAGTATTCTCATCATTCCCTAATAAGAGCAGCTCACTGTGCCTAAATTGTTTGTGATAACAATTCGGTGAATTGTTTGTGGTGAATACCTGTTTTCCTTCAGAATTTTGGTAGATGTTTGAAAAACAAAGTCTATACGACCAGTGCCAATTAAAACCCTTGGCATGAAGTCTCTAATGAGCTTCTTTGATAGAGAGCATTTGACATGTGTTCTCACAACTTGCTGCTGGAGGAATCAAGTATATCCTGTGTGACTTCACTGGGAGGACATTCTTGGAAGCTTGTGCCTGATTTCCTTCAGACTTTATTACTTCATCCCATGACCCTCTTTCCTTGCTGATTTTGCCTTGCATTCTTTTGCTGTAATAAATCATATCTGTGAGTACCACTATACTGAATCCTGTGATTCCTCCTAGAGAATCATCAAACCTGGTTGTGGCCTTTGGGAACACTGACACAAAATTCTAGCCAAAAAAAGTCTCGTAAATAAGATTAAAGATACATACATGCATGTTAAGAGGGTCTACAAGATGAGCGGCAATACTCATTTCATATTCTGAAAGTTTCACATTTTTCACACCAATTTGCTTCATTAACTTCTCTGCCTAGGGAAAAAAAAAAGCAACCTCCTTTAGTTTGGTATTTAGATACTGGCACTTCAAAACAGGCATCTGTGAAATCTGAAAAGCAATGAACAGACATATAAGAATTTTTCAGAAATATTCTAGGCCCCTGGATCTCATCCTTTCCCACTGTAAATCCTTAGATAAAGAAAAACTTGAGGGTCTACTCCACAGAAATGATGGTAATTTAAACCAGCTCCTGGAAAATGAGGGGAAATGAGAAAATAGGGTATGTGACTGAAGAAATACACACAGGGCCTCACCCTGCTCCAATGAGACTCTAAAGTCCAACTTGATTTCTCTTTCCTACTGGAATGATCATGACAGATGAAACCTCAAGATCAAAGACTGAGGAATTAAATATATCAAGAAATGGACAACTGGAATTTTTTTACTGAGATTAACGGAATACCTAAAAACAGTTGCCTAACTTCCTTTAAATTACCCAGGTATCTACAAAGGTGTTTATACCTATCTAATTTCACACTGTTCTGAGATGCTGTCCCGTTCAGTTAAAGTCAATTCCTGGTGCTAGGCAACCAGATATAATAAAAATTATTCTGAATTAGAAGTATACTTACATATATTTTTAGAGCTGGGCAAAACTAACCTTAAACCTATGAGCTCTAACAATGCAACAACACTTTCAATTAAAATAAAAATCACAATAACAATGATAAACATTTACTAAGTGTGTCAAATATTATGTCAAAACACTATAAATAGATTAATTCACTGAATCCTCAGAGTGAGCCTATGGGATAGGCACAATTTTTCCCCGTCATGGAAAAAGAAACCCAAATTTAACTCAGATTAAGTAATTCCCTTAGGTTAAAACTGGGCCAGTGAAAGAGGCAATATACAAATCTAGGCAATCCAATACTAGAGCCCATACTGTAGCCATCACACGTTACCTTAGTTTCCCCAGTAATATGAAGGAAATTTGTGACCACTAAAGAGTATTTAACAATCTATAACTAACTTTTAAATTTCAATAAATGGACATTTTTATAAATAAAGGTGCTCTGCTAAATAATGTATTCACCTAAATTTTTGTTACATTTTCCTAAAATACTTATGATTATATAAGATCTTGCTGTTGGTTAGGGGTATTGCTGCTCTACAAGGAAATTCAAATCACACAGTATTATAGTTATAGAGTGGTTAAAGGATTAGGATGTGTGTTGATCATACCCTACTAACAAAAGCATTTTAAAAAGTGCTATGAACCACATCACTATTCCTATTTAGCCATCCCCTTGTAAAACTACTCACTGGATAAAGTTGCCTTTCCCAGATCCCTTTCCCTCTTTCACCGCCTTTAAATCTCGTATGTGTCAGCTATGAAAGGTATCCTATTTTAGTATCTGTAACAACATTAACTTAACTCTTCTTTTTCATTATGATTCTATAAACATAAAGCTATCCCACATGTGTTCTTTTTTAGGCCGTGCTCTGAAACAGTGGTTGGTTCTTAACCAGGATGATTTTACACCTAAGGGGACACTTGGCTAAGTCTGAAAATACTTTTGGTTGTGACAACTTGGGTGAGGGGAAGGGTACTGCTGGTATCCAGTCAGCAGAGAGAGGGATGCTGCTAAACACATTCGAGACGGCAGAGGATAGCCTGTCCCCTACTCTCCCCAACAAATTATCACCACAGGATAGCCTGTCCCCTACTCTCCCCAACAAATTATCACCACAGGATAGCCTGTCCCCTAGTCTCCCCAACAAATTATCACCACAGGATAGCCTGTCCCCTACTCTCCCCAACAAATTATCACCACAGGATAGCCTGTCCCCTACTCTCCCCAACAAATTATCACCACAGGATAGCCTGTCCCCTAGTCTCCCCAACAAATTATCACCACAGGATAGCCTGTCCCCTAGTCTCCCCAACAAATTATCACCACAGGATAGCCTGTCCCCTACTCTCCCCAACAAATTATCACCACAGGATAGCCTGTCCCCTACTCTCCCCAACAAATTATCACCACAGGATAGCCTGTCCCCTAGTCTCCCCAACAAATTATCACCACAGGATAGCCTGTCCCCTAGTCTCCCCAACAAATTATCTGCCCCAAATGTCATTAGTGCTGAGTTAAGAAACCCTGCCTTTTCCTCCATTAAGTAGGTGCCTTTAAATTTTTACTCTAGGCCAAAATTACCTCTTGCTTTAAGTAATAACAACCTTTATTTATATCTAGGGTTTCCTAAAAAAAAAAAAATCAACTATGTTTTTCAGTCTATATAGTCAGAAATTGTTATAGTCAAGTTTACTTAGAATCTTTCCCCCACAATAGCAGTCTCATTTAACAATATCTTCAGGTTGCATTAATAACATTGACAGAAAAAAGAAATAAACGTGTATTGAGTATCCACAACATGCCTGGCACTATGCTGGGTACTTTATAATCAACCCTTTAAACCATCCTGAGAATAGCTATTATTATTTTCATTTCTTAGATGATGAACTCAAGGGTCAAAGAAATTAGAAGAACTGCCAAGACTATATAGCTAGAAACTGGCATTACCAGGGCTCAAACCTAAGTTGTCTAATTTCAAAGCTTAGAGTCAGCTGAAACACTAATATTCCTCATTTGGGAGAATAGAACATGGTTTAAAAATAATAATAAATGGAAAGAAAGTACCCCAAAATACCACACCACCATGAAACTCTTTTCCAGGAGTAAATTATCCAACTGTCCAGCTTCAACACATTTAATTAAATGTCTATTACTAAAACATTTTAACTAGAAAAACAAAATCACAATTGGATTACTCTAAAAATGGCTTATGTTCACGTGTTGGTTTAACATTTACAGCTTAATGCCAATTACATTTTCTAGTCACCAATATTTGCTTGGTTTTTAAAATGGTCTCTCCAAGTAGTTGTCTCTATGGAGAAAAAATGGTGAACTGGATTATGAAGGGAGTCAGAGGTAGGAGGGAAGCTTACATTTTACTGCATACCCATCTTTTTTATGGTTTCATAGTATTTTTATCCTTTCATGGTACTTCATTTTTCCTCTATGTGAAATATGATTCAAAAAAATTAAGAAGTGGGGTGGGAAATAGAAAACTAATATTTTTGCCTAAACTCGGGAAAGAGGAAATGGAGAAAAGGAGCAAAAGAAACACTCATTTCATTCAGGTTCTGAAAGATCACTAAAATTGGTTGTTCTTTTGAAAGAATAATTTTAGAAAGAGATGGCATTAACAAGTAAAGGATAAAAAAAGAGATGAACTAATTAAACTAAGTTAAAAACCTTTTACTGAGGTCACAGCTAAAGTACTCTCCGTGCCACTCTGGAAATGCCTGTCCACTCCTTTTCACCCTCGTTCTCATTCTCCAAAACTGCAGTCATCCTTTATCTCCTCTTGGGAACTCCTTATGACCCTGTGTCTTTCCTCACTACAATCCACTGTACCTACTGCTGTTTCTGACATGCACATTTAAAATATATATATTTTTGCCCGGCTGATGTGGCTCAGTGGTTGAGCACTGATCCATGCACCAAGAGGTTGCTAGTTCGATTCCTGGTCAGGGCACATGCCCAGGTTGTAGGCCAAATTCCTAGTGGGGGGCATGCAGGAGGCAGCCAATTGATGTTCTCTCTCATGATGTTTCAATCTCCCTTCCTCTCTCTCTAAAATCAGTAAAGAAAAAAAAAAATAGAGCTCTGTTTTCTGACATTATACTCAACGTCCTTTATCATTTAGTCCCTTACTTCTCTAAGTACTACGAGTTAGTGCATAAATACTCTATTTCAACGCAACTAGTCTATTTACTGTTCCTTTAATAGGTCTTATTATTCCTACCCACATCATGATTCTGTTCATGATTTTCTTTCTAATTAAAATTGTCCTTGCCTATTCCAGAGGCCAAGATCTTTCGTGAAGTCATCCTCAGCTGCCTCAATCATCAGTGTATGCTTTCTCTAAATGCCACAGTTTCTGTCTTCACTACTCATTAGGCAATTCAGATAATTTACTTATAAAAATTTATATTGTCATGAACAAGTCTTTCCTTCATATCATGGGCACTAGGAGGACAGATGTGGTATCTAATGCCTCATATACCTGATATTTTTAACAATACTATACACATAGTTTAAAATAAAGGCCAAATGTATTCATGTACTACTTACATATCTATATTTGGCTTTCTACATGTCTTCTACATGTGTATTCCAGGGCTCTTAGAATCCAAGAAAATAAATGTCAAGCCCAGCCAGTGTGGCTCAGTGGGTGAGCATCAACTCATGTAACCAAGAGGTTGCTGGTTCGACTCCCCGTCAGGGCACATGCCCAAGTTGTGGGCCAAACCCCCAGTGGGGGGTATGAAGGAGGCGGCTAATTGATGTTCTCTCTCATCGATGTTTCTATCTCTCTCCCTCTCCCTTCCTCTCTTTTTTTTTTTTTATCCTCACCCGAGGATATTTTTCCATTTTTTGTACAGATAGAGTGGGAGGGAGAGAGAGGAAGAGAGAGAGAGAGAGAAACATCGACGTGAAGGGACACATCGAGTGGCTGCCACCCGCACGACCAACCGGGGCCGGGGACAAACTGCAACCGAGGTATGTGCCCTTAGCGGGAACCGAACCCGGGTCTCTCTGTACCGCAGGCTGACGCTCTAACCGCTGAGCCAAACTGGCCAGGGCTCTCCCTTCCTCTCTCTACAAAAATCAATAAAGAAAAAAGAAAAAGAAGAGCCCTGGCCGGTTTGGCTCAGCGGTTGGAGCGTCAGCCTGCGGTACAGAGAGACCCGGGTTCGGTTCCCGCTAAGGGCACATACCTCGGTTACAGTTTGTCCCCGGCCCCGGTTGGTCGTGCGGGTGGCAGCCACTCGATGTGTCCCTTCACGTCGATGTTTCTCTCTCTCTCTCTCTTCCTCTCTCTCCCTCCCACTCTATCTGTACAAAAAATGGAAAAATATCCTCGGGTGAGGATAAAAAAAAAAAAAAGAAAAGAAAAAAAAGAAATGTCACAATTCTCTGTTTAAAGTCACATTCTGCTCTTAAAACACTTTTAAAAACATGACATCAATACTTTGATCTTAGACTTAAACTGATTTTCATGATTCAGATAGTGGTGGGGAAGACGCACTTAAGTTGACGTGTGAATATACTCAAATTCATTTTTTTAAAAATCTACACTAGTCAGACTTCCTAGAGAGTTATGAATTGACTAATAAGATGATATAATCTAAATGAGTCAATTATTTTATAATCAAATTCAGGAACAAACTCATAACTGTCCAAATTTCTTTCCTGACATATCCAGTAAGCAGTAATTATAAAACTACAGTTTTCACTGATTTAAGAGCTATTCATAGCACTGTAGAAGTCATTTCTTTATATTCCAATTTCTCACACCAGCCTACAGCATTTGAAAGAACAAGATTTATTCATCTTTTATTGTTGGCACCAAGCATTTGCTAGGAGCTCAATAAAGGTTTATTGAATGCACCAGAGTCACAACTCACAGAAGAAATCTTAAATCCATGAATAAAATATCTTGCCCTCAAACAGCAAAAAAAATTTGAAAGAATTCGTGAAGGCTTTTGTTTTTTAAAGAAAAACAGGAACCAAAACAAGTATATCATCCTAATGAGGAAAGGAACACAAGAGACAGTGGCTCAAACATAAAATTACAACTTATATTAAAAATAACATCTTTTTAGAAATTCTTTAATTAGAAATTGGTGTAGTTTGTAAGTCTAAGACTGAGAGCTTGTCAGTATTACCCACATTTCCAATGTCATACAAAGCAAAATATATACCTTATTAAAGATAAATTTTGTTTAATCTGTTCAAAAATTTTACCTAGATTCCTTTAGGTAACAAATAGCTGACAAAAATTCTCTAATGAGAATGTTCATAACCTAATACGATAGTATTTTGATTCTTCATCATTTTCTCTTCTAAGTTGCTATATATCAAAAAGGATTTGAGAAACAATTATTTTTAGGAATAATGAAATTAAACATGGCATAAAAACATTTTAATGTGACTGTTACAGAACTTCTCAGTAACTTATAATTCTACTACATCCTTAATTTTATGGGAAAATATTTGCTAGCTACAACAAAAATAATCCTCAAATATTTTAATCATACCTGTTTCTGAGCTTCTACTTTTTGCTTTCTGGTTGGATCAATTGCATCTACCATCCATTTGATTGTAAAGTATGTTACCGCACCAAATATTGTCAAACGGAAAATTAACCCAACAACTTCATTCCGACTCAAGGGACGAGAAAAGGCTTCAGCATGTACCATCTTGACAGTTGCCCTTAAAAAACAAACAGAAACGTCACTAGGTAATAACTAGTCATCAAAATTGGGAGGCCGGTAAAAACCTTAAATTAAGCAACAAAAACTACTAGTTAAATTCAACATTACCTACCTTTAAAAAGTGTTTTATTTTGAGGAGAACTGGATTTTTAAATGTTAGGTAAACAGACACATTTTAAGCTCCCCTTAGAAACTGAGGTTGATGTACTAGAATTTTTAATGAACCTTCCTAAGTAGAGAATCATTCTATTAAAAAAATACAATTAACATCTTTAAAATAACTATTTCAGAGTCTAGAAAAATAATGACTATAACACTAATCTAACTGAAGAAAGGCAACCCAACAATGAAATACTTGACTAATGTGATGGTAAGAATTTCTTCTATTAAGTGTAATGTAAAGCAGGTAATTTTTGAGGGAAATTCAAATTGTGAACTCTCTATTTCATCATACTTACTTTTACAGGTTGTCAAGGCCTGCTTAAATTTAAACATGCCATTTCCTTAATAAGTGACATTAATTTTCTGAGCCATACTATTGTTTCCTACAACTCAGCTAAATCTGAAGAGAATCTTCAAATATTTTTGAACCACAAAAATATAGCCTGCACCCAAGACAGGAAAAAAAGAAGGTAATGTACCTACTTTGACATATATCCGAGCAGCTACATCAGTCACAGCTAGGCTTACAGGAGGTGTGCACACCCCTGTCAAAGACAGTGACTACCTAGAAGAATAAGCTTGCCGGGGACGATGTGACTATCACACTTTGGGAGATGAAATCTCAGCTTCAAATGCTTTATACCAGTAGTTCTCAACCTTCCCAATGCCGCGACCCTTTAATACAGTTCCTCATGTTCTATGTGGGTGTATCTGCATGTGGGCGGACCTGCCTGGAGACGGGGGATAGAGGAGTGGTGCCTTGGTTCCTAAGACCATCGGAAATACTTGTTTTCCGAGGGTCTTAGGCGACCTCTGTGAAAGGGTCGTTCGACCCCCAAAGGGGTCGCGACCCACAGATTGAGAACTGCTGCTTTATACTCTCACAACACAAGAATGTACTGAGTGCTATATGACAAGGAAGAAAAACAAAGAGAATGTATATTTTGCACTCATGTGAAAGGGAATAATTCAGAATTTGTACAGATGGCTCAGCAACAGGTAAAAATTAGATACTGCATAGATTAATATCTATGGTCATTCCAGCTCTAAAATTATTTTCTCTTCTCAATACCACTACTCAATTAAAGATCTTCTAAAATAGTGCCATAAATATTAATTTCCTTTTACATACGTCCCCTCCATTCAAGAGTATGTACTCCTCCCTATTGAAAAGAACCCAAATCTTTCCCTTTATTTATAGGAAACCCAGCCATTAAAGACTATTCTAATCTAGGCCCAAAGAGTAATTTATGCATTTTACTTCTCAATAGGAATTCTCAAAAATTGGTGTCACTAGGACGTGAAAATACCCCTTGTATTTTCCCTCCGGCCTACTATTTACCTGGTATTCTGGGTGGGCCACTTCTCTCCACTCATGTAGGATTAGTCAAGTTATATCCGAACTTCACATGTTCCATGAAGGCTTTCAGACATTAATCCTCTATATTATTCACACGGCTGTGTTATTCAATTTATGTGATATTTATTCTACTCAACTAGAGTTTAAATCCTTATAAACAAGATTTTATCTCACCAGTTTTTTAAAAAAGAGGCCATTCAATAATTATTTGTTCAACAGATAAATTGCAACGGCAGGAAACTTCCCATTCAATCATTCCAACACAACTGTTGCCAGATTTTTGAACACTTTCCAAAGAAAAGTCAAGGGTTCCATTGACTTTACTTCTCCATTACTAGAAGCCACTCACTTTACAATAGGACATTATTTAATTTAAACTTAACTAAATAATTGAAAGCCTTCATTTAGGAGGGAAGAAACTTTGGCCTAGGAACGTTAAATGATTTAATCATACAATAAAGCACTTATTAAAATGTATATATAATGCCTACTGTACATTGGATATACAGTAGTCGCTAGGATACAATTACTTTACTCAAGAAATGCATAGTCTGGTTATTATATTAATTGTATTTTTTTAATGGAGCTAGGGAGAAGCCACCTAATTAAAATGTCTCTTCGTGTAACAAATCAAAGTGTGGTTTCTTCCATCAGCATGAATTCCTAAAAACAGGTTAACAATATTATACTTCTTATAGGATGTGAAAATTTGACTTTTCTAGCTTTTATTCCAACAGAGTAAATTTGAAAATGCAGTTGAATGGAATACATGGTATCATTATGCAGGGGCATTATTCATTAATGAAAATAAACCAATAGGCCAAATAAGGGTTTTAATTTAACCATGTGTGAAAACTAGAGATATTTGAATAAAAGGTTTTATTTCAAGTTTGATTTAGTGGTGATAAGACTGCCATCTACTGGAAGTTCACTGAACTACATGAATAACTAGTGTTATCAGTACATTCCAGTCATCAAGATAGTAAGTTTTAATCCTATAAAAAATATCAAGATACAAAATCTGTTAACTATATATTTCCTATAATTAAATTTTAACTGTAATACAGCAATCTAGACTTAGGCCACTTCGAAACTAGTCCATCTTTTAAAATGACCTCAAAATCCTAAACGGAAACTGAAACTTCTACTTGTAGGTTGTAACCGTATATACTTTATTGTACACTCATCTATCATTCATATGACATTGATATGCCTGCAATGTAAGGTTGTGACAGCAACAATACCATTACAACAGAATTTACCATAAAAGCTGCATGCGTATACAGCAGTAGGGAATGTATTTCGACCTTGTATTAACATTGGGATCAATAAAATAACACACATTTATGTACAAAAACATAGATGGTGCTATGAACAACTAAGAAATATTGCAAAATACTGTAATTCTGTTATTTGTTAGGGAAACATGGCACCAGATCGTTTCATTTTAAAGAAATAGTTTCATTTCAAGGTAGAAAACTTTGTAATTGTACTACCTGGTCAATGAGCAATTTACTGACAGGTTAAGGACTATGGGTATAGTGTTCACACTACAGTCTCTCTCATTTCTCTCCTGATTCACTGCAGTGTTTTACAAAGTTTTTCTCAACCCCAAAATCCCAGTTTCGCAGATATCAAGATCCTATGCCTAAGTCAAAGAAAGACTGCCAACCTTCACACAAAGGACAGGTAAACATCATCCTCTGCCAACACATGCCCAGGCCCTAAGAACCACCTCTGCTTTTGCACTAGGTGGTAGCAGTGCCAGTGCAACAATCAGACCCAGTCCATTCTGGCCGCCTTTGCACAAGAGCCCGGTTCTGAGGTCGCCCGGGACGACCCCAAGCAGTGACCGCTCTGCCTACAGAGATTCCCTGTAGGTAATGGCATGACTCTTGGGAACAGTGCTAACACAGACCTAAGGGCCTAGGCGGGGCAGGAAGCCAAGGAGAGGCCCGGGACGCCCTTGGAGGTTAATCCGTGGGATGCCAAGGGTTAGAGGAAGCTGGGGGGCAGCACTGAGGTGGGACATGGGAGGAAGGGGAGGTGACCTTTCCTGCTGGGCTTCCCAGTCCCGAGCCGGCCCCTAAAGGAGCTCAGTGGGATCCCGCGCCGGTACCACGAGGCCTCGCGGGAACCCGCTACTCACCCCGGTGCAAAAACAGCGGCAGCAGGAGCCCTTACCTAGTCTCACACAGGAAGAAAACGCCGTCTGGGAGAGGACGTTTCCGGCCGGAGCCGCGGCCCGCCCCCTCGCACCGAGCATGCGCAGCCCGCGGCTGACGGCGAGGACGGGTGCGTTTCCGGGTTTTAGAAAGCGTCCGTGGATTGAGCCGGAACGAGGTCGCGCTCCAGCTGCTTAACCTGCGCTCTGCTGCACTGAGGCTTTCAGCGAGGCCGGCGTGTCGTCTGCAGCCTTCTCCAAGGCTCCGCGTCTAGCATTGGAGTCTCAGATACGGAATTGGGGACGGCGCTGGTCACAAAGGCCCTCCCCCGCTCGCGGGCTCCGGGCGCGGAACTGACAAATAGGGGAGCCTTCTTGGGAGTGCAAAGAAATGCTCTTTGTCATCCGCAAAGAAGTTCTTCCCCGTCTCCTGCTTGATCCTTCCTCCCGCCCCTCTTCCCCCTAACCCCCGTGCGGGCCCGCCCGCTACTGCTCTGTCCTTTAGCCAAAGCGCTGACGCGCATGGCCAACCCTCACCATCTGCCTTTCAGTTTCTAGGGTGAGCTCACCCTCCTCCCACCTATCTGCGCTGCCAAATACCTGGGGGTGGCGCCTGAAAATCTTACAGCGAGACGATTGTGTAGCCCACCCAGGCAGGGCCGGTAGCCGGGACAGAAGGAGCATCTGGTGACAGGTTTTGCATTTCGGTGACTTCCCTTTTTCTTTACCCCTTCCCCTTTCCAAAATGAGAGACGTGACACAAGAGGTCCCAAGGGAGCGAACCTGAAGCGAGAGCCTCCTGAACACACTGCCAGGGGGCGAAACGACATTAGACACTGTCCTCAGATATAAGCAGCATTGCTACTTCAGATAGAGGCTGTGAGACTGAAGTGGTGAGATAGTTCCTCTCCCTGCCCTCCTGGGGAAGACAGTTTGTGCCTCTGCTTTAGGCATCATCTTTGCTGGCTAAAATTCTGCAGCCTGATTGATGAGTTTCCTGAAGGCTGCCGTTGTTTCAAGCTTGTGGTGCTGCACTGAGGGCAATAGCTACAGTTTATTGAATGTCAGGACTGGGTGTCAGGAAATATGTTTCTATGTGCTTCACATCTGCTAAATTCCTCAAAAGAACCCAGTCCTCTAAAATAACCATTTTTTAAATAGATGGACAAATTTTAAAACTTCGATAAACGTTCCTAAGTTTATACACCTAATAAGGGGCAAAATTTCACTGCAAACTAGATCTAATTCAAACCCTATACTTTACATATTGTCCTTAAAATAGTATTTTATACTAGTTAAATTTAAAAATCTAGGTGGAAGGTAAGAAAATGAAGTGACAAAATCATGAGGCTTTAACAGGTAAGGATGGAAAGACAGGGATGTGTGAATATTTAAAACCTGATCGGAGTCATTGACAAGAATCAGAATGAAATTTACTGTAAGTAGCTCATGCTTTACATCCAGGCCTTTTGACTATATGTGTATCCACATTCAGAGTATAATTTTTTTTTTTTATCCTCACCCGAGGACATTTTTTTTTTTTTTTTCATTTTTTGTTCAGATAAAGCGGGAGGGAGAGAGAGTAAGAGAGAGAAAGAGAGAAACATCAACGTGAAGGGACACATCGAGTGGCTGCCACCCGCACGACCAACCAGGGCCGGGGACAAACTGCAACCGAGGTACATGCCCTTAGCGGGAACCGAACCCCGGTCTCTCTGTAGACGCTCCAACTGCTGAGCCAAACCAGCCAGGGCCAGAGTATAATTTTTTTAATGCTATAAAACTGTGTTTGGGAGTGTTACTAGACTGATTACTTAGAGAGGAAGATAGAACTTTGAGAAAAACAGGATTATGAGACTCGCACAATGTTTATTAAGAAACATAAGCCACCTGTAACGCAGTCTTAGAAGTCTTGGAATATACTCTCACCTAGGTCTCTGGGATTATCCTCAATCTGAGTCTTTGTTTGGATGTTCATGGGAGCATGCCTTGACAGAGCTAAAAAGTAGAGGCTACTGAAGAAAAGAACATTATGTTTTGTGGCCCAATAGGGTAATTGTACCCACTGGTAAGGAAAATGAGCTGAGAAATTCAAGATGGTCGCGGATTTTCATCATTCACTGAGTGAAACTAGGTCAAGTGAGAACTTAAACTGCCTTGCTCTAAGGACCACAGTGATCAACCTACCCAGTTTGTCTGACATTAAGGGGTTTTCTGGGACATAGGACTTTTGATGCTAAAAAGTCTCAGGCAATCCATGAGGAAGAAATAGATTACCCTACTGGGGACATCTTGGATGAGTTCTAGAATGAGGCAAATTTCCAATATGATTGCAGCTAGTCTAGATATATCTGTCTAATACTGGGGTATGATTGTATAGAAAAGGAAATTGTTGGATAAAGTAATCAAGGATGACCATAAAGAGCCTACCCGTCCCCAGATAAATACTGCTGCTCATTCCTTTTCCAGTGGCTTGGCTATAAACTATGGGCCTATACCTATATCTTTTGTACTTAATTTTTATTAATGAAATCCTTAGGAAGCCTCCTATGTCTGGGCCCTAAGACATCAAATTACTGCCTTTCCACATACCATACATATTCATTTCCAGCAATCACTAAATCAAGTAGGTTCTTTTAGAATAGAGCAGAGTGAACATATGCTTTTCATCCCAGGATAGCTTTATATAACCCCTGGCAGCACAAAACACCATATTTGGCCCACAGTAGGGACTCAATAAATAATTCATTATGTATAATATTAATCAGGAAATTTATAACATCAGATTTTTTGTGGACTTTCTAGGCCTTCCCTCTGTGATTGTCAGAATCAAGATATTAAAAATAATTATTATATTTACTGTAGACAGGTTTTTTTTTTAACCAATGTGTCTTAACACCGTTTCTGGCAGAT